ACAAGAAATTAGGGAAAAGAAAATACACCAAGCCAGACAAGTGCTGATGTTTGCTTCTCTCTGGTCACTTTTAATTAGCAAAGACAACTTGAGGGTCCTGGTTCTAGCCCCTTAACACTTAATCTTACAATTACTGAGGACACTAAGTCCTCAGCTTTCCAAGATGTCACTACAGGCTATCAGAGCTATGGTGAGAGACCAAAAAAAAAAAAAAAAAAAGCTCTTGTATCTGCCTATTCACTCCATTCCTCAAAAAGTCTCCTGGGAAGTTTGTGTCTAAGAATTACTTTGGAAGTAGTTACAAACAGCATGTCACAGCTAAGACTCAAATTGTTCTAAAAGAACTTTTTGTTGTTGTTGTTGTTGAGCAAAGCTGATTTCCAAATAATTTAAGGGTGTCCAGTGAACCTGGTGAGAGCAAGTCTCATTGTTTCTCTGATGACAAACAGTAATAAAAAGCATCCTGGGACATCTGCCTTCTCAGAAAAGGTGTTTTCTTAAAACTTGATCCTTTTCTTACAGCTTTAGTCTTTGGAGCCCTCAAAATAAATGTCTAAGATGAAAGCACAAACTATGGACAAGGAGCATCTAAGGTCAATGAGAACTTCCACAATGGGCTCACCTATACGTTAAAGTTCCTGGTGGGGAGCTGCACCTGGTTGTAGATTCAGTAAATAGTCACTGGTTATCTGATTAGGTTCACCTTATCACCAAGCAGCTGTCCCTTTCCAGCTGGTTCTCAGTCCAACTTTTTGGACTTTGTATATTCACTCATGATCCCACTGCCATTTAAATGAACGGCATGTACTTTAAAAGTTCACCAAAAGTCTCCGTCCCCTTCTCCTTTCCCCCTCTCCCCTCCCTTATTCTCTCAAATCAGAATGTAAATCCATACTGAACTCTCAAAAACAGAAATAAGTACTGAGAAGAGAAGTAAAGCAAAACAAACATAAGCATGGTGAGGGAGAAGGCCTTTAATATGCCTTGTGCTCCAAGGCTGCGGAACCACGAAGCTCCCTGGCCAGCTACAGTCAGAAAAGAGGCTCTGTGTTAATTAAACAGAGTCCCACCCCTTCCAGGAAGGAGACTGCTGGCATTTACGGTTACTTACTGAATCTATAACCAGTCACAGCTCTCCCTCCACCTGGTAAATAAATAGATGCTGTTTATTCCTGGTAATAGTAAAGGTCTGCTGGCAACATCCTCTCTCACTGGTTATCTGATTAGGTTCTCCTAATTGCGAGTAAGCATTGCATTATTTATGAAACAAAGCTGAATTTCATTAAAAGAATTCTTCGACATCCAGGTCAGAAAAAAACATCATTTTTATTTTTATATAGATTAGATATTTTCTTAAAAGTTACTCTTCTCTTGCATACTGAACACCTATGCAAGAACAAAACTCATTTTGTGTGTTTACTTTTTAAAATAAATTTATGTTTGAATTAGCTTGGGTCTAAGTCAATTCTGAGGTCTCCGGGAGAGAAATTTTCTACTGGAAAGATGAATAATTTAAGAGATATCTATGTTGCTACATCAATTGTCAGAATAAATTAAGCCCATCTTGACTCTGACTTCTACAGGTATGTTTTAAAGTTCTGTTAGTGATTATTCCCTTCCCCATAAAAAATAAAAATTAAAAATAAAATAAAATAAACCTCAACAAAAGTTTCTCTGAACTGGAGCAGAATGGTGATTGTCAAACCTACTTTTTAAAGACAAATGTGAACAATCACTGGATTTTCTTTGTCATGGTTTTATTCAACATTTACTTTGTTCACTGGGGTTCTCTTGCTATTTATTATTATTTTGATGAGTTAAAAATTTAAAACTCATTATAGAGAAAATGTGTTATATTGTCTAATAGTTCTGGGGTATAAGGAATTTTA